TATAAACGAACGAACTAACGAAGAATATAACAAACAACAGCTACCTATGGCACATACACTAAAGAAGCTATAGCAAGCAACAGCTTTAATCAATAGGATAAACCCAACTCAATTTAATACAAGTATTCTCAGAGCCTCCTTGATGAAAGCTATACGGGGAAAGCATCTTGGCCAAGCTGCACAAGATTTGCTGAATATCAAATTGCCTTTGATACGGAGATTTGTAACTTAGAATAGTTCCCTAAAGACGCAGAAGAGGAAATGATGAAAGTGTAACCTTCCCAGCTGAATACATCGGCATTTATAAAGCATTAATGTTTCACCGTGTAATATCACGTATAATTTACTACCAGAAGTATGTTAAATGGAGAGACCTAGTACGAATAATGGTATTACAATATCATAGTTGGAGAAAATAATCCGAATAAATCTTCATCAAATCGCCCAAACTATTACAATACCTTTCCGACGTGTGACAGATAAAGGCTGTCTTTCTCTGCTTAAGTCATCATTCACGCCCACTCAGTCCTTTTCGGGATTACTTTATCCATTTATTTTACTTTTTTTTTTTTTTTACTTTTGTTATTATATTCTCTCTGAAATCCTAATGTCTTCCTTTTGTTTCTCTCACCTCTTCATTGTTTTGGCATATTTGAAATATTTTTTGTTGTGGACTTTTCTCCTTTAATTACTGGGGAATTCAACTTCACATCTCACTCCTTAAAGTTTATGTTGACTCTGTATGCCAAATCTTCCGTCTAAAATACTTTTCAAACATTTATGCTTTTTTTCTCAATAAATCTTGTAAGCAGCATTGATTACATGATGATTTATCACGTCAAAACTTCAATCTCTTCTTGCAACACCTACTTCTCCCCCCCTCCCCTAATTTCACAACCTACCATATCCAGACCTTTAATCGTGTTCATGGGGCTATTCAAGCTAATACTGTTCCATTTTCTTCTTCTGACCATCAAACCCAAGCTATGCAAGGTTAAGATGCGTAACGAAGTTGTTCATAAAGACCTTGTAGGATCTGTCTCCGAATAATCAGAATAAAAAAATGGCATCTATATCAATTTCAACATCCCCCTAACCGCTTGGCTTCAGGCTAATCTTTCCGCATTTCATCCGTCCCTGGGCGCATTTTATCACGTGCTTCTACTTCCTCAAAATTGGTCTATTTCTTTTTGCCTTATTTCACCTAGCTCTTGGATTTTCTCGGCAAATGATCATTGTGCATCACACCATAAACTGCTTTCAATTTGCTTCTTAATTGTTTCCTTGTCTCTTTATACTACCTCCTGCTATACTTTCACAGAACTTTTCCACGCCCAAGCCATTGTCACTGTGAGCATTTTTTTCCTTTTCTCTCTGAACTAAACTAGATTAAGAATGTACGGTTTAAAAATGTAATTGACTTAATACTAATGTGTTATAACAAATATATTTGTAATCGTTCATCGTCGGCTTGTAAAAGGCGCACACACCATAACGCGTGAAATTATATTTGTTCTAATATATTAGTATTAGGCCTATTAGTATTGTTACGTCTCCGTTCGTTAGTTAATTTCCCGTAAATTCGTTCCGACGAAACTTTAGCGACACAAGTCCTTTCTTAAATAAAACTGGTTTATTCTTTCTGAATATAACTTTGCGATACACTTAATTTCAACAGTCGCGCTATAATTCTCAACGAACGTCTCACGTGCTTGACTTCAACAATACTCAGTTCAATTACACACTCTCTGACTGCAGTTCAATTACTCAATACCTCGTCATGTTGTGACCATCTTATATATATATACCAGCCTATCCCCAATCTAGTAGTCTTCCGATAATTCATGAAGGTTCGAGAAGGACGTGGCGTGATACTAGTCACGTGACCTCGCTGACGCAACAGTATTATATTTCTAAACTACATTCTTTATCTAGCCCCTCCAGGATTTTAGAGAAATTAGAAGTATCCTTGAAAATTCCTAAGAGACCAGATAAAGAATGCTGCGTTTAAAAAAAAATATTAAGCCTAATACTAATTTATCATGGCAAGTATAATTATCATGCTTCGCCAGCTTTTAAAACGCGTTCACACTACAGCAATCGCAGTGTATTACAGATGCACTATGCTTAGAGCAATAAGAAATTTTCTCGTTTTATTATGTCAGTACTTTGATAATTATGATGAGAAGCTGTGACAATGAAACTAACTAAGCAATCGACAAGAAATAAAATGGCCTGTTGACAGTTGCCTGTAGGAATTTGAGAACGAAGTTGTTTTACACAAACACACATTGAATTATTGATGCCGTTATACAAAACTTAATGAAGTATAAATGTCACAATTACACGAAAAATCAATAACCATCAGTGATTAACATATTTGCTATTTCTCTTCTCTTTCACAATTTTTCCTTAGGCCTTGTCACTGCATTTAAACTAATCAACAGAAAATAACCGAGTAAAGAAATTTAGAATTTTATAAGAAAAAATTTATGAAATGGTGGTATCAAAGTATTATTATAAAAAATAATAATAATAAATAGAGCGTTAAAAAAAAACGGGAGTCTAAAACAAATTTATTCAGCTAAGCCATTATTTTCGGTTTCATTGTATGTATCGTATACTGCCCCCCCCAGTGGCATAGCGGTATGTCTGCGAACTTACAACGCTAGAAATGGGGTTTCGATACCCATGGTGGGCAGAGCACACATAGCCCACTGTGTAGCTTTGTGCTTAACTTCAAACAAACAAGTTAAGCACAAAGCTATACCACGGGTATCGAAACCAGGTTTCTAACGTTATAAGTCTGCAAACTTATTGCTGTGCAAGTAGGGGGTAAACAATGTTAATAATTTAAACAAAAAAATATGTATACTGTTACGTCTCCGTTTGTTAATTGATTTTTCCGTAACTTTGTTCCGACGAAATTTTAACGACACAAGTCTTCACTTAATAAAACTGGTTTATTCTTTCCGAATATAACTTTACCGATACACTTATTCTCAACAGTCGCGTTATAACAAACTATAATAACGAACGAACGTTAACTACAACAATACGTCTCTCTCTGACTGCAGTTCAATTACTCACTGTCTACACACACATTACCTTACCGCGTCACGTTTTCCCCTCTTATATATACCAGCGTACCCTATTTCTAGTAAGAACTTGAACATTCGACAAAGTACATGATAGTTCTAGAAACGTTGCGTCATAGTAGTCACGTGACTCATATTTCGCGTAACATTTCGAAACATAATGAAGACTTGGATGGTATGAAAATGTCAATGACAGACACCGTTTAGTAACCAGAAGGTTGTTGGCCCTTACACGTATTCGGTTGTTACAGCAGGAGGTTGTGTGTTACTAATGGCCGTTTGTTTCTAATATTCACGCAAAACTACACTAGAGCTCCCTGTGCTAGGCATACCTAATTTTCAGATGCCAGACAAGAGGAAGGCAGCTAGCGAATAGTAACCATCGCCAACCTTTGGGCTATATTTGGCTGATCAAATATTGGATTTTGATCGTCACCTTTATAATGCATTCACGGGTCTAAAGTTCGGAGCGCGATTTTTTTTGGTGATAACGGAACGCGTACCTTGGTTATTAATGTTAAAAGCTTCAATTATAGAGCGCACCGGTCTAATTTTGCTATGTAGCAAAAAAAAGGATGTAACAGTGATAGAGAGCCACTGTTTTTACTAGCAAGCAAGGATCAACGCTAACCAGTTTCAGACCCGACATTATTGGACAGCTCTCTGGTGGCAAAATAATTCGTCACAGGGTATTTTTCTCGGACATTTTTCCTTTGCATATCATCTTCCAAATATTCTCAAGTTTGCGCGATGCTCCGGTAATACAGCGCGAATTATGAATCACCCTGTATATTGCTATGGTTTCATGTAAATGTATAAAATCCGATAAAAACAGAACATTAGATGTGTTGACCTTTGTATCTAATTCACCTAGGTCATTTAACCCTAAAAAGTCACTGCATTTTACTCTGACTAGCCATATTGGTGTACAAAACTTTGGAGTTACGATGCTCACGCAACGAATTACAAATTGTATCTTTTATTGTTCTTTTTTTCACTTCAGTAAGCATGATACTAACAGGTTTTCTTCATTAAATGTGTTTTCTTTTTGTGTTCCTGTGTAGTATTTTCCATTTTAAAGTGTATAAGGAAAAAATACAGAAATTAACAAAATGCACGGCATTTCTAGCTAGAAATATTGATGTTATTTCAAAATAAAATCATTAAAACATTATTTAAAAAGCTTAGTCGTATGGGTTGACATAAACTAGGGAAATCATTATAAAATCATCCAAATGTTTGTTTGTTTGTAGTTAAGCACAAAGATACGCAATGGGCTATCTGTGCTGGGCCCATCACGGGTATCAAAATCAGATTTCTAGCGATATCAGTCCACAAACTTAATGCTATACCATTTGGAGGCTTATCCAAATGTAACACCTTTCACTAAATGTGCAGTAATACCTACAACACCTTTATATGTTTGTAAATACTATTGTTAAGCAATATAATAGTAAAATTACTGTTGGATCTGGAGAATTTGATACATCACGTTAAAAATAAGTGTTAAATCTCTAGAATTTTCAGTTAATGCACATGCCTTTATCCGAAGGATAGTTCCACCTGTTAAAACAGTAAGATTTGATTTGATTTTTATGTATAATGAAAGGTGTTTGCACCAGCAGGTAGCAGTTTAAAGTGATGTCTGATTATAAGTAAAAACTTACTTCATTTCACACTGTACTTATATGATATCAAATTTTCCATCTAATATTTTGCTTGTTTATATATTCATAACATTTTTTAACTTTATAATATCACAGAAAGGATATTTTTCATTTTACACAGAAAAAACTGTCTTATTACAGTTAGTATTAATGCTTAAAAAGGCCATCACATATCTCAAATCTTGTCAATAAGACAGCAAATCAAAAACGAACAAACTAACATTAGTTACAATAATTATTTTATTCTGTTTAACATACTCTGCGATTTACTTTGTTCCATTAATCTTCTTTTTGTTGACTCTTCTATTTCATTCTCTTGCAGATGAAGTTCAAGTGTTTTTTCTGTGAGCTGTATGAAGGGGAAAAATATTCTAGACATGTTTTCTTTATGTACAGTTGACATCATATACAAAAGCTTAAATCAAATTTATTTGTGAATGAAAAACTTGTGACTAATTATATTTCATGTAAAGTATGATATATGACCTGTTTTCTATTGTACACTCACAAATGTTTGGAAGAATTTAACTTATTGTACATAGTGTCTGAATATTCTGGAACCATAGGAAATTTGCAGCTTTTCTTAATTTCAGATACATGTCTGATTATGATGCTGTCAAAACATGACAAGGTGGAGTTAATACAGTATGTGAAACATATTCTGTAAAACATGTTGAATTGCGTATGGTTCCACACTTTTTGGACACCCAGTATTATTCTTGATAGATACATATCAAATGTATTGCAAAATGTATTCAAAATTTCCACCATACTGCAAAAGGACTATAAACGATGTTTAGCTGTCAAGATAAAGCACCATTTTTACTGATAGTCAATATACTAATCCCACTAGTCTTTCCACTAAACACCATCAGCAACTTTATATATCAATCTCCATTGGTATCAACATGACTGAACAGTTTAGATAGGAATACATTTGACTTTTGTGTCTAGTCAAACTTGTGAATAAAAATATATATATATATGTATAAATGAGCATTATTGCTTTTATTTTTTATCACCAGCTTGTCTCTAATTTTGTTTTTCTAGTTCTGGTTAAGCCATACTTTGGGCTACTAGGATACTGTCTTTTCTTAAAGTTTATGTGTGTACCATTTTGTCTTATGTAAACAATTGTCATGTATTTAACCTTTAAGTGTTTCACAAAGCTAATTATATCTAAAAAAATCTTTAACTCTTGTGATAAAATAACATATGTAGAGGATTTTTAAGGATCTGTGGACATAAGTTAAGTATAAGTAACTATAAAAGTGAAATAATATACAGTCATTTCCTCTGATTAATTCTTTCTACACTGAGAAAAACTTCCAAGTTTTACAGGCTAAAAGGATATTTCAAATACAGAAAAGTTAAACTCAGTACAGATGGATTATTTCATAATTAAATTATCTCAATCGGTTTTACATGACCAAGATATTCCCAATAATGAAAACGTTAGGCTAGTACAGATTAACCCTTTTCATTATGAAGTGGTATTGAAAAAATCTTAATTTGGTAATCAGTAAACTATTTTTCTTGACCTGTTGGAAACTTCCAGTAAGAAAAGTTTTAATGTAGAAACTGTAAAGGATAAAATCCATTTTCAGTTGGTAAAAATTTAGTTATTGGTACTAAAGTTAATTGTATGATAAAATTAGACTCATTAATTTCTTCCATACATTTTAGATATCTCTCAAGCTAAGTGGTAAATTCTTCTTATTTACTAAGCAATTATCTAAAGCAAATGGAGCAGAAGTAGGCTGCACCTTAAAAATAGATATCACAGTACATGTAATGAACAAACTTCTTTCATAATGCTTTAATTGTGTTTGCAACTTCCTACCAGGTCTAACATAATTTCTAACTTGTACTTCAGTAAATTGTTTTCTTCAATTAGTTGTTTATTTTGTTGTTTCAATTCTTCTGTTTCTTTTAACGATGCATTTGACCTTTTTGAATCTGGAAGAAAAAAACATTTAAGGACACAATGCAGATCCTAACTACTAATACAAATTCTGAATAATTCATACTGTACTATACCCAAAATATATCAAAATGCAATGAATTAATTTCATACAAATACAGTTAAAACCACTATTATCTAATTCCACATTATTCAGTAGTGTTCATAAATGCAATTTTTAACTAATCAGTTAATAAAGTTTCAAATGGTTAATCTCATAGACAATTTGTTTAAACCATTGATGATTTGAATCATCAACTGTATCATTCAAAATAAAATCATTAAGTATGGCACACTGTGTTTAAGAATTAAGTCTTCCACCTGATGTTTGGATTTGATAATAAAAGAATTAACATGGGTTTGGAAGTAATATTTTTTATAGCAGTTTTCTAGGGTTTGACCAAATCTTAGTTGGAAAGCTGTTTAAATGTCACTGTCCTTTCATAAGAATGATAAGAAATGCAGGAAAGGGTTCATAACTTGAGCCGTGAAGGCTGAATGAACTTTTGATAAATTGTAACAAACTTTTCATCTTCTTCAACATCGAAATTACCAATACCACACATCAATAAACATTATTATGCACATTACCTTACATTAATCTGTATTTTCAAAACTACCAGATTTATCTTGAATCAGGCACCCTTCATTTAATCAACCACATCAGGTCATTTTATAACATTACAGCCCTGAACATTTTTAAGTATTGAGCAAACCTTTTCTTGAACTCTCCCAATCCTGTTGCACCTACCACATTTGAAGGCAATACGTTCTGAAGATTTATTAACCCATTGGAAAAATGAAATTACCTAACCTGCTAGAGACTTCTACCCTACCAAACTTATGTCCCCTAGTCCTACTAGTCTCACCATTAATTATGATTGAACAATAATATCTTCCTCTGATAATATCTGTCAAAGACACACTAAAAAAACATAATATTCTTCTGTTTTATTTGTTTTCACAATGTTACCAAATATTAGATACTTGTTTCCTATTTAAAAGTACACGTATAAATGACCCAAGGAATTTTTGTTCATTTCTTTATATATATATATTTAAAATGAAATAAATAAGACCTATAATTACCTATACATCTGGACTGTTTTGTGACAGAAAGAACACAGCTGCATACCCAGCACATGTCATCGATATGTGAGGCATATACAAGTGTACTGACCATAAAAAAACGAGTTTTTTTCCACCCACAACTCCTAAAAATTATCAATTTCTCTAACAAGTTCTTGTTCACCATACAGTTTAAAGACAAAAACAAAACTAGCATTATTGCTCTTCAGTTCATCAACATAACCAGCCAATCTCATAAAATCAAGAATACCTAAACTTATTTTGCTTTTAAGTTGCAGCAAATATGTCTTTCATTATACAAAGTGCATGTTGTAACATTTATAAGTAATGCAGTTAACAATAAATATTTCATGTAACACCAATGTAAAAATGTAACATTTATAAGTAATGCAGTTAACAATAAATATTTCATGTAACACCAATGTAAAAATTTGAAAATATTAAATGGAGGCTTGTGTATGTGAGAATATTACTTTCCTCTTAAAACTAATTAACCTATTGATTCAACCTATACAAAACATGTAAAAAAATTTATTAACAAAAAATGTTCATCTACCTTTTACGATTGCAATTACAAAACAAACTGATATTTTAAAGGATGGTGCAGTTGGTTAAATAAAGCACCTTCTGGCATGTAGTTATACAACTACTTTCATAAGTATGATTTTAATTTAGTCAAAACTTGCATATCATAACCTTCCAATTGGTAAATCAGAAGATTCTGCTTAAATACCTATAATCCACTGGCCATTTACAAATTTAGCCAACTGATTTCCAAGCTGTAGCTTAATTGGTCCATAGTTAACACCCAATTCTTCTTGAATGTATGCAGGATCTAAATCATGGGTAATATTAGAGAGAGATGATGATTTTCGTGGAGTTGTCCTTTTTGGAGAGAATTTATTTCCAAGAAGAGGCATTTTCTGCAATATAAAAAAATTACATAAGTATACATACACCTATACAAATTAAATTAATTATTGGTCTTTAAAACTAATATGAATCTTTATCTTCTCTTATAAAGACTCATATTTATTTTTTACTGTATATAGCAGTTAAAATTGCTTCAAATCCATCTGAGAAACAACATTTCAATGAAATCTAAGATACTGATTAATCTAAAGAAAAGCTTGGCTGCAATCAAACCTGAGTGAAACTATCAAACCTTTTGGGAGTGTTTAACTAAATTACATGCATATTTCTTCATCAACTCCATTTATATTTTACAGCATATATTTTACAACTTATTTTAAAAGCTTACCACATTTCAAATGATAAAGTAGTTATAATCACTTTAACTTAAATACATATTTAGTAGAACTGTCTCTTGATATTTTACCAACTCTAGCACATTGTCTATGGCAGGCAGTCTTTATATACCATAATGTACCTACATTACAGGTCTAAAGGATCACTGGAAATTTCTACTGTTCTTTATTCCACCAACTCTGCTCAAGAACACATGGTTCACCCTCTCAATGTATTGACAGGTTATGTTGTTTCAAGGGTATTTTAGATAGTAAGGCCATAGTAAAGTTTGGCTTTTAGCAAAAATATTAAATATTGTAACACAAATATAAATATTGCTTAGAAGACTTGTTTACATCAATAACCATAGTCCTACAAACAACTTGTTCTTCTAGTTGTAGAAATTAATAAAAACCCTATAACCCAAGCACTTTCAAAAGATGGACCTTTCTTCTTCAGGGGCAAACTTCATGACTTTATGTAATACATCATCTCACTAGTGCCTACTATAGTCTACTGTGAGATACCAGAATCAAATATAAAGTATAATATAAACTATTTCCTCTATTGTTAGTACAGATTTTACAATGTAAAAATGTGAAACTGGTGAAAAAGTTAATTTAACTTTTAAGCACTTCACCTAACTACATCAGTACTTCTTATCCCAGCGGTTCCCAACCTTACCAAACCAAGGACCCCCATGTTTTTTTGAAAGATTCCATCTACCCAACAAACTATTTTTCTTACTAATAATTAACTTGTTTTTACATTTTGTTGGGAACCACTGCCTTAGCCCATACATATATCAAACTGGTCAAGTTTAAAAACTGGTGCAAAGTCGAAATTTCTGGCTAACTCCATAGTTAAAATCGATTTTGTAGTACATTATAGTTTACGCTAAGTACATATTATGCATTATATTCATAGTAACTAAGGTCTAATTACTAAATTAGACACACACTTTCCCGACTGCAACTAATCACGGTAGTCTTTAAATATTATAACTATTATAGTATATTATTAATATTACCAATCAGCAATGTGGAAGTAAAATACTATCACTATTTACTCAGTATTACTATTAGTATTATTAATAGTACTAGTTTTCTCATTGCGGAAATATTCTAAATTCTTGAGACATTACGCTTATGGCTACATTTTTTTTAATGTTTTCAGAGTCACCATACACAAAGAACATAGATGTGGATATATATTATTGTTATTTATAATTAACAGTTAGGCCTTTGTTTCGAAATGAAAAGGGTAAAAAAAAACATTTTTCTAAGTTAATTTCCTAGTGCAGCATAGGCCTATTGACATTGACAGTCATGGTACTTGTTAACAAAAAATTACTTTGTATACGTTTTTTACTAATTTTAGTTAAATATGTCACCTAATGAAATCAGTCTTGGTTTTGTTTCTAATCCAGAAGTCCAATATAAAGTAAAAGTACCAACAGTAAAAACTTTACTAAACTGTAAACAATGAGTGTGACCTTGTCACAATTTAAACTTCTTCCGTAATGCTCATCTAACATTATGTTAGTAAGTAATAACGTATCTGTCTAACGGCTAACATTAGTGTTCAATGTTAATTATTAGTTATTACGCTGGTAATAAGCACGGCGATATCTGCTTTCGTACGATTTCAGTACTCCTCAGCTTATTATTTATTGCATCACAGGCTAGCTATTGATACAAACCCAGAAGAAGAAACTAGTAGATGTTTTTGAATAAAAACAAAACTGATTCCTTCGTTAAATATGGTACACATAAATTTCCACATTTTAGTATTTATAACAACAGTATTTACGTTTACAGTAACATTAAAAAAATGAAATATATTCGAATTTGACAAATTTGTGTTTGTATTACCAAGCAAATTGGATAATCAATTCTAGTAGCGATCTAAAGATTATATTATTGCCTTTCGCTACACAAATGAGATGTTTTAATTGAACGATTTGTGTAATTTTAGAGGTATTAATGCAACTGTTCCACGATGGGCCAGCAGTAAGTTCACGAACATGCAACGCTTAATACGGGATTTGATTCCCGCGGTGAACACAGGCAATGTGGCTTTGCGCTAAAACAATCAAAACAAACAGTCCCCCAGTGGGACAGCGGTAAGTCTTTGGACTCATAAGGCTAAAATCAAGGTTCTATTCCCCTCGGTGGACACAGCAGATAGCCCGACGTGGCTTTGCCATAAGAAAACACACACACAAACAATACTACTTATTCTGAATATTATTCGTTTCCGACCTGTGCACTATTTTTACTGTGTATTATTTTGTAAAATTCCTCACATTTTCATTTGTTCTTGTAAATGCTGTCAGTATTTTTTATTTAGGTGGGCTTTTGTTTTCAAGAAACAAAGTAATTTTAAAGTAAATATTTGGATATTTTCATTATGCGATATTAAAACAATATTTTAAATTTAATGTATTAAATATGTTATAGAATTTGATTCTTTT